TCCATTTCTCTTTCTGTCACCCGCTCTCCATAAGACTAGCCCTCACAAGGCGACAATTTCCAAAATGTGTTGAACGTCTCCTTTAATCTGTCGAGTTTCGGAGCAAGAGTGTGAGAAATTCAGTTTGCAATAACGAAAGAGGGATTGGTTTAATTGGATCACTTATCAGCCAGGTTAGGATGCGATGGACCGCCGAGACCGGTATGATAATCTTGCTACTACTGATGTGGCTGATGATGATGTGATACGGTAGAAGCATACAAATAGTTGAAACGAGCTGAATTAACAACACTTGCCCATTATGATTGGGAGAAAAATAAGCAAAACCAAAAAAATATAATGATGGTAGGCCTGGAATCAACTAGCCGGCACTTATTAGGCTGTAACTGTGCAAGTGAGCAATTTGAAGGATTCGAGGCATATATTTGTCCAACCAGACCAGAGGCTACCTCATTTTAGGAGTCAAGTGCTCTTTGCAGGTTTATTAAGGCCTTCTGGCATATTGAGAATGAAGAGCAGGAAGTAGTATACAGGGTTTGGGGGACTTGGAGTTAGTTTAATGCTTTGCCATCACAATCGTTGCTTGGGTTCCTGGTCCATCAGAACATGTGAATAGCAGAAGAGAGTCTCGTTGCTACGACGAATCCTGCTGTTATGCTCCAGCGATTCAGTGAGACCGACTGTGCTCCAGTGTTTTCTGGTTGCACTCCTCGATTGAAGTTGGTCTGATGCGATGAACTGATTCCACGAAGTAGGGATCCTTCGCCTCCGAATGATGAGGAGAGGCTGAAGTATTTACCTGAGGGTAGGAGCCGATGACGGGTATTCACCGTAAATGTAGAGGAGGGAGAGAAGGGAGGCAACAACATTTAAGCCTGTAGCATAGTTACTGGAATGTGGCCAGATTAAAATTAATGTATTCCAAACGCAAATGTCACACCATGTCCACTCCTTCGTACTCTAATTTCAATGGAGGTAATGCTTATGCCTGGAAAGTTGAAAAACATGTATTAAGGGTAGATTTTTATGTTTTAAACTTTTTGAGTGGGAAAGTTGTTATATAAGCAGTCTGACCCTGTTTATGCAACTTGGTCGTATTGTCAAGAAGACCTAGATTAAGGAACCATGTTCGGAGTCCATGATGTCCATGATTAAGCTCATGGCAGACGTCTCCTCTTGATTTACGA